CAGCTCCGTGGAGGGGAAGGGGGGGCCGGGGGCGGGGAAAGGGGGCGGGGCGGCTCCTCCTGTACCTGGAGGGCTCGCGGGAATAAAGGCACCTCCATCCTGCAGCCGGTGTGTCGTTTTGCGGGGATTTTGCGGGAGAGCAGAGGAAGGGGGGGGCATGAGAGTCTGGTGGGGGGGGCTGCCATGGTTGCCATGACAACACCGGATGCTTCTTAAGCGCCTACTGTGTGCCAGGCTCTTCGTGAAGTGCTCATTGTGCATGTGCTCGGTCGTTCGTCCACTGGATCGGTCTTTACCGAGCGCCCCCCTGTAAAGACTCAATAACCGAGGCGGGGGAGGAGCCAGAACCCCGCCCGTCCTCTTGGCCCCTCCCCACCGCCCCGGTCCTGCTCTCCCCGGATGCGGTTGCTTAGCAACCGGATGCAGGAAACTTCAAGGATGTACGATGATTGACGACTTCCGGACCCGAAGGACAATGAAGCCAGGCTGGAGCTATATTTTGTCAAGAGAGGGGGTGTCCCGCCTGTTCACATTCAATCTTTTCTAGACAGAGCCTTCTCGGGCTGGGGGGGGTCAAAGGATATCAGCTGTACCCCAGTAAGCAGGTCATGTTCAGCGGTCAGAGCCCCCCATTTCTGAGGATTTCTGGAAGGAGAGGCTCGCCAGTCTAATTTCCTGCAGACACTCTCCCAGCACGCCCACCGTCTGCCCTGGGGCGGGGAGGGGACTCAGAGTGGGGAGGTTTGGAAAAGGGGACCAGGGAGGAGTTGAGGGTCCCCAGGGCGGGTGGGCAGGCAGCCCCCAACCCTGCACACTTTGTCCATCCCGCACCCTGGGCTCCTGGAACTGCAGGACGGGCGACGTGACGTGAGGAGGGTCAAGGGGGACACGCGGGCAGCGCGCTCCGTCCGGCTGTCCTTCCAGAGCCGCCGCTGGGGTCCGCCCACGCCTAATGCCTGGTGGGCCTGCGGGAGAGCTGGGGCTGCAGGGACAGCGACCTGGCCCGGGTGCTGAGGCGGGGGTGGAGGCGCCGGAGGACCGCCCGCCGGAACAGGATGTACACCCAGGGGTCCAGGATCTGGTTCCAGGTGGCCACGCGCAGGTAGATGAGCAGCTGCCGCTCCGTGGCCCGCGCCAGCTGCCCGGTCGGGCTCATGGCCGGCGGGCTCCGCAGCACCGTCTGCGCGATGAAGACCTGCGGGGTCAGAGCCGTCAGCCGGGGCCAGCCCTGGCCCCCACGCGCTGCCCCCTCTGCACCTGTGCCCCCGCACCTGCCCCCACACCGCACCTGCCCCCCACCTCCACCGCACCTGCCCCCCACGCGCCTGCCCCCCACGCACCTGACCCCACACCGCAGCTGCCCCCCTGCACTTGCCCCACGCACCTGCCCCCCACGCACCTGACCCCACACCGCACCTGCCCCCC